GCACGGTCCGATGTCGCCTTTTGGAAAGATGGAAGATGGAAAAGCGGGAAGGCCCGAGGAAGTGTGACCCGAAATCCCGTTTTGAGTGTTTTGGAGGGTTTTGCAGTGGAGAGAGAGAAAAAGACTCAAAAATGGTACCTGAGAAATTCGATGATTTCTCTTTTTCGCCGGTTTGAAGGGTATGACGCCGACACGTGGAGAAACAATGCAACGTGCAACGTGCAACAACGGTGTTGACAACTAAGGAGTGAGCGAACGTCGGAGCAAAAAGAGGGATGAGACGAGACCACATGTATTCAAGGGCATCATGCAATGCGTGCAGTTTGTTGGCGGGGTGTGGCACCTGCAGTATTTCAATATTTTCATCAAGTGTGTTGGCATGAGAATTTCGTCATCACAGCCTCGCTTGCGCTCAACACCACTCACCTTCCCCCTCCTATTTTTGGTTCTATCGTGTGCGAGCATGTGAATCGGGCTGTGAAATGGGGGTGAAAATCCCATTTTCACATGCCGGTTGGTGGTGGTGTGACGTGGAAATCCCATTGAAGCTGAGAACCCCTCAGTTGCATTTGCGGCACGTTGTGTCGCCCTGTTCGGTGCTGAAACAGCAGAGAGCGGGGGTTGGATTCCGCCTCGTGGAACCAATCAGTGCCAATCATGATCAGGCGCTCCATCCGGTAGGTGTCACAGTGCCTAGGTGAAGACTCTGATCTTTGCGGACTGTGTGTTCCATGGCAAATAAAAGACCGAGTATCACCTGGGAAGTCCGAAAGGTGAATGTTCGGAGTGGGAGATTCATGGAGTTAAAATTCGGCACATCTTTATTTCTTCTGAGGACATGTCTTGTTTCAGTTAAACATGTAAATCCTGTGAGTGTGTGTGAGTGTGAAAGATGCCATGGGCTCAACATGTAAATCCTGTGAGTGTGTGTGAGTGTGAAAGATGCCATGGGCTCGGTTCTTGAGTCCCAAGAGCGGGTTAGGGTAGTCGCCCTACGTGCCTAGATAATAGTTTTGCGATCAATTAAGCCAAACGTCCCAATGCACTTCACAAATCTTTATGATAAAATGTTCTGACATGCATGTATCCTAATTGTTTCAAAGAACACTTCCAAACAGATCTATCATTTACGATTGATCAACGGAGTATCAACAAGCAAGACTTTCCTTCCACATGAACCCCACTAACCCTCCTTCCTCCAACAAATCGGGACCACACACGATTTCAATCGGGTATGGTGTAGCGGTAACATCGTTGACTCTCACTTCCCAGAAGTGATATGTTCTCTCAACAGCCCCGGGTTCGACTCCCGGTATCCGAGTCTCATAATATTTTTTCCCCCATCTTTTTGCATTTTTTTTTTTCGTTATCATTTTTCCTCTGTTAGTTGTTCATATTTCACATTCACTCTTATTTATACATATCTGTAGTAGACCAAAAAGAGATTTTTATTCATTTATATTTTCCCCACTTAAGGGTTTCGTTTATTCTGCCTCCTCAGCAACAACAGGCTCCCAATAAATATTCTCAACATTCAAGAGCAGAGGCTCCGACTCGGCCGGCAAACTACACGTCTGCGTCACACCGTCGGCGCTCCCGGCAGGTTTGGCGACACACACTTCAGTGGGAAGTTCTCCAATGACGGTGGCGTCGAACAGGAGTCTTGAAATTTTTGAAACACACAACGTCAGCATTCGCCTTCCCATTCCCATTCCCATTCCTTCTCATCTTGGTTTTGGATCCGAGTTTCAATACGTACGTAGCATCCTTATCATCGCAATACCACTGGAACCGGAACCCGATCCTGTTGCTTATTTTCTCGATCAAGTACTGGCATCTCACCAGTTGGGATGGAAGAGGGGCATCTTTGCCGGGCACACAGACGGACCAGACGCCGCCGCCTGTGGAGATGTTGATGCGGTCGAGCTTGTAGATGTCGCCTGTGCCGGGGTTTTCTACCGAGAGGGTGCCGCGGAGTTGGCCCGCTGAGTTGCTGGTGGTGATTGTGTCGATTTGGTACTCGCGGAGGATGAAGTTGGTGATGTTTGTGTAGGAGGAGGGTGTGCAGCTTCGCGATGAAGGCGAGGAGAGTGGTGACGCTGCGGCACCGACGCCGAGGAGTGCGGTGAGGAGTATGGTGGTGAGCAGCATCTTGGGTCGATCAATTTTTGTTTGTTCACGATGGATGTGCGAGTGGACAGGCACTATAATTATGGCAGTTGGGAGCGACACCCACGGTAGGTTTTGTTGGTTCGCAACTCGCATTTAAATACCTACAGAATTCTTTCCCGGCATGTACCGATCGCGATAAGGGATGCAATATGGGTGTGCCGGATGAAATGCTCCACGATGATCCATGGCAGATACACCTTCGTTTCCCCGCTCCAGTCATTACCTCAGGCTAATCCACAAAACCCGGTACCTATCTGGCTGGGTTCATGACAATCTCATGAACGTTTTCAGTATTGAAGGCAAAGAAAGGCAGATTGAAGCAGGAGAGAGGTGAGTGCGAAACGCGGATTTCGTGTTGAGTTTATGATGAAGATTCTGGAGGCGAGCTGGCCAAAGAAATCTGGTGAAAGTGATGATTTCAGCGTCCTCAGAGTACAGTGACTTGGACTCTTTGAGGTCGGGTGCGTCGATGAGAAGGTTATTAGTGGGCCGTCACGGTAGCGAAGAGAAGCATGTCATGTACGTCAGTGGTTTCTCAATGATCTTCAGTTATTCTAAACATGTATTCGTTGGTACAATTTTATTATTATCTATTTCGTCCATCCCTGTGTTATACTCTATTATTCCATGTTTTCTAGGCTTGCGCATGAGATGCGCTCTTTTTCCACATTGTTCTAGTTTTCTTGGGTGGCAGCTTGGAAGTCGAATGGATGCCCAGGTTGTCAACAAGTTACAAGCACAAGAGCCCAGCTTGGCTTCATGGCCTAGCAATGTGGACCGGAACGAGAGGCTGTCAGACGTTGCTTACGGTGTCATTTTGCAGGAGGTTTCACTCTTGAATAGTCAAGAAAGGAGCACATACCTTACAGAATTCTTGGTAGCTCGGCTGGAGACAACAAAAAAACTTGTGAACCCTCATTATATGCTCTAACATTTCATTACCTACGTGATACTCCTATATTGTAATGAGAAGACACAAATACACACTCACAATTTAAATTCGACAAACAAAATAAGTCATAGATAGTATAAAACAAAAAATGATTTTATTGATAGTTTACCTTGATCAGCATGCACACACACTTACTTACCAATACTTACCACTCACCACATACATGTTATACGTATGTATATGTAACTCAAATCCAATTCCCATCATACTTGACACTCCCAAAAATATCCCTAGCGTCAACCTCCCTCTTCTTCCTAGCCGGACCAGGACTCACAGACGATCCCCGCTCACCCTCGGGTGATCCCCAACAGGGAACACCAAACTGAACCGTCGTGGGCGAAACAGGCCAGTCGTAGTCGTCATCCCTGGGCCTCTTGGAAGGCGCAGTCCAGAGGTTACGATCGCCACCATTTCTGCGCCAAAAGTCTGGTTCAAAAGCCGGGTCGAGGGCGAAGTCGGCTGAGTTTCTCGGGCGCCAGAAGTTTTGCTCCTGCTCTTGCTCGTGTACAGTCTCTGCTTGTTGGCCGGATGAACCTGACGTGGTACTAGTATTCCCAATAAACTCGGCAGATTGAAAAGAGAAAGAAGAATCAAAGGAAGAGGACGACTCGGAATCATCAAAAGGAGGACCGGGAAACCCAGGCCAGGGAATTTCGGACTGGATACCTTGTTCCGACGAGGGGAGGCTAGACCACTGATGTATCGCCTCGTCTAGCTGTCTTTGCAGGCTGGTGAGGATGTTTTGGTGGCTGGCCAGCTGTTGCTGGGTCGTGCTTGGTGAGAGCATACCCCGAAGTTGCTGATGGATACGTGTAGGATCTGTAAAGGGGTTAGTAGTGGGTTGGGCTTGAGAGTCAGCAACCGCCACATGCATCTGGCTCTGGTGGTACGGCAGATTTTGGATGTAGGTCTCTTCTACCTCTTGGTGGTCCGCGATGGCGAGGTAGAGACCTCCGATCGCACGCTTGAGGTAGTTTGAGCCGAACGGCATTTTGGGTGGCCGTCACGGTGGTGTTGTGTATGTGGACTGGAATCTCAGAGTGACTCAGATGAGTTGCAAGGCTCTCCTTTCCCTTTGCTACCTGAGCAAAAAGACGCTGCTGCTGTTAACTGCCTGTTCTGTTCGTTGAGAGAACCCTTTTCTGTGAAAGGGTAATACAAGTGAGCAGGCGGTTAGAGCAGCTGTGAAAGCTTTGAACTGGTCTGAGTTGTCTGAGAGTCCGATGATGACGATGATGAGAAAAAGGAAAGGTGAAGTTTTGACGGTGGTAGTCGATGTTTAAATAGGGGTTTCGCGCCGTGATGTTTGTTCAAGCCAACAAAGAAGTTGCACAACGAGATGTAAAGACAACGCCTTTGTCATCAGACACACACAACTCGCTCCGATTCATGAACAAAGAACATTAGGTTCTTGGAACAATGCCATTCATGTTTGTTTGGTTTTTATTGTTCTCTTACAGCTCCTCAAATTGATCAAGTTTGCCACAGGATTCAACGTCAGTGCTACCCATGAGACAACTTCGACCCCTAAGGCTCGAATGCTCACTTTCTCGTCTATTACACAGTTGATTTGACCCTGATGAAATAATCAAACCTCTCGGTGCCGCGCAAGAACGCCGTCTATGAAATTTAAGGTGGTAAACCGACATGAAAGCAGTAACCGCTCTATCAACAACATATGGTTCCTCCATAAAATTCCCTACTACCTGTGTATTGATGCTGATCATACTTGATTATTGACCCAGCATATCCTTCAAGACTGACTGACTCGTATTGACCGGTATGTCAGTCGGGATGAAAGTCTTATTAAAAAATAAAATCACCATCACCCCGCTGACGCTGTCATCATCTTTCACGACGGGGAGAGAGCAAAAATCGATCGAGATGGGAATCGAACCCACAACCTCAGTCTATTCTATTTTCTTTCCCAATAAGATTTTTGCTCCATTTAACGCGGTGCAATTATGGAAGTGGATCAATAGGAGGACCACGCGCTACCATTACGCCACCCGACCTGTCGGTTCGATCGAATTGTGATTGTTTCGTGCGGGAAAATAGTCTCAAAAGTCCGAAGGAGTCCACGCTGGGTGGGTGGGTGGGTCAGTCGTGGAGTGGAGCATTCGGATTTCCCAACGTTTACCACAGTTGGAGCGATTTGAAAGTGTTTTGCTTTGGCGTTCGGAGTTGTTGCGGGAATAATTGGTGGGTTGTGGTATTTGGGGGGAAAAACGAAGAGGAAGGTCGAACAGGAATGAATGCGAGTTTGACGGGCTCTAAAAAGGAAGGCATAGATCATCGGGTTCATATTAGCAAGTATGTTCGAAATCGGGGTGGATTATATCGAATTGGAACTGAAGCCAATTCGGAGTTGGTGTGCGAAGTTTTGGAAGTAAATACCTGAGTGTGAGCTTGTCATTGAAGTGCGAAGGCAGGAATAGCGAAACCTTGAGAACAAAGGGGGTGACTGGATGATGAAGTATACGATAATAATAGCGACTGTGAACTACGGGTTTTGGTTTCCTTACTAACGAGCGACTGGGTGTTGATTGCGGAAGGGAGAGAGGTCCTTGGACTGAGAAGGAGAGTCGACCTCTACCACGACGACTCGACCGCCCGTAGATCATCCGCATCACCAGTACACCGCAGTAACGCCGCAGCGAGGGGTTAATTACTTAGGTTTAATCGGAGTCGCCCGGTAGTTAGGAGAGGATAAGGCGGTGTGCGTGTGGATGCATTCTTTTGAGTCAGGAATGGCAGAACCCTAAACCATGAGCGCCTGCGCAATCGAGCCATACATTCTCTTTTAGATTCGGACGGCTTCGGTATAATCAAGAGTGACTGTACCAATATATGTATATTGCTGACTGCACACATGGTTCGGAGTTAATCGCAATCTGTTCGAACCAACATCCTGACCATCCCCGCGGTCGTATTCCCAATTTGACTTATTTCGGTGATAACATTCCTCACGATTGCTTTGTCATGCCGTTAGGTTCCACCGGTCGCATTTGTGACATTGAAGATCGGTCTTAAACCCGAAAAGAACCCTGCAGAAGCATACCATCATGCATCAGTTTATCAATGACACTATGCCCTTGCTTGAATGTAACGAGAACGTGCGCATTCTAGATCGACAATTGATGTTGGCATGCTCGCCAAGACGAACTGGGTGATATCCCATTTGTGGGAGACACACCCGGGTGTGTCAGCCAGACTCTCAGTGGTCTGCTTCCTTTATCGGTTTTGGAAATATCTTGCTTGTTAAATCCGGAGCCAACAGACACCACATGGCAGGAGAATGTGTGCTCAAGGATAAGAAGGGGCTCCAAAGATGTTTGTATCCAGCTTCTTGTGTCGCTTCCAGTTTGCCAGACAGTAACAAGCCTATCGACCAAAGCATCCAATATGTCGTTTGTCGGTCCTTCCCCCCGTGGTACGAATGTTACAGAGGTGATTAATTTCGTCAAATGCCACCATGACACTTAGTAAGACTACTACAATGTGATGCCTCGGAGCTGCTCGGCAACTGACTAGATGGCACAACAGTCCTAAGATCTCGCCCAAGAACTTCAACCTTGCTGGGAAGTCTGTCCTTGTAGCAGGGGCCTCTAAAGGAATAGGCAAGGCGATAGCTGTCCGGTATGCCGCTTCTGGGTGCTCCAAGATTGCCATCGGGGCAAGATCTTCACTCGAAGACGTCGAGAAGGCCGTCAAAGCAGCAGCAGGCAATGCTGGCCATCCAGAGCCAACAGTATTGGTCTTGTCACTCGATGTCTGCTCCGAGCAGTCCGTGAAGGAAGCTTCCGAGGTTGTTGCCAGAGCCTTTGACGGCAGCTTGGATGTCTTGGTCGTCAACGCGGGTTACATGATCGAGTGGACACCCATCGCCGAGCACGATGCTGGGGAGTGGTGGAAGACAGTCCAAGTCTCTCTCAATGGTCTCTTTCTCTGCTCCAGCTACTTCATCCCGCTCCTCCTCAAATCTGAGACCAAGCTACTCCTCGCCATGTCCAGCATCGGCGCTGTGACCATAAACGTGGGCGCCTCTGCATATCAGGTTGCCAAGGTCGGAACCTGCCGGTTCATCGAGTTCGCTGATCAGGAGTACCATACACAGGGGCTGATTGCCATCGCCATCCACCCAGGGGCCATCATGACGGAGCTCGCCGAGAAGTTGCCTGACTTCCTTCATTCAAATCTGATTGATACTCCTGAGCTTCCTGCCGACAACATCTTGTGGCTCACGAGCGAGCGGAGGGAGTGGCTTTCGGGGAGGTATATCTTTTCGAATTGGGACGTGACCGAGCTCGAAGGGAGAAAGGACGAGATTGTTGAGAAGAATCTGCTCAAGTTGAGGATGCAGCTGTAGAGTAGGGTGGTCCTCTGGTAAAGGTTATTGTGTTAGCAAACATAAACAGACAAACAGGATGCTTTGCTTGATACATAATGCTCTTTGACACAAGAAAGACGAAGACATGTCACTGTGCAGTAGTGGAAGGGCATCACTTTAGACAAAGGCTCAACACCGACTTAAAAGCCCAAGGCCCTTGGGTCTCTCTTCAGGATTCCCTCTTCTCTGGAGCACTGGACACTCCGAGTCTGCTATCTGAAATGGACTGTTCCTCCTTCAGGCGGTCTACTGGGAGCTCAAAGTCCTGATACGCCATCCTGAGACCACCTGTAGGCGGTGTGAATGTATAGGTAGGTACCTTACTTCGTCCCTTCTATTCATGCCATAACTCCCCTAGGGCTCAACCTCGGACGAAGTGAAGCACCGACCACCGGTTAACCCACTAGGATTTTACAGTCGTTCTTTCCTCTGTACCTATCTGCTTGCTACCCCGCGCACGGCCCCGTCGTTTAGTTCGACCTTTTTCTTTGGCTCGATTCCACTTCCAACTTTCCGTTCTCCTTCTTCCACACCCACACCTCCCACATTTCTTCAGCACCACCATCACTGGTCGAGTGCTTTTCTTTTTGACCGATCGCCTGCTCTTCTACTCAGCCGATCGTTTATCTCTCATTCCAGTACAATAATTTCAGTCCATCGCGACTTTCTCTTTCCTTTACATCACTGTCAAGTCTTGAAGTTGTTTGTGCAGCTGCACTATTTGCTCATTTGAAAATGGCTTCACCCCTTCGTGAAGTCGACATCAATGCCATCGTAAAGGATGATGATAATGTAAGTTACATCTACACCGTCTTCTCACGACTTTATCAATTCTAATCTTGTGTGCCAGGTCGCTTCGGTCAGCGACATCGCCAACCGTGAGTTGGGTGTGGCCGACAACGATAGCAACGTAAGTCATATACTATTCAATTATCTCATCACTTTATTGATTGTGACTTTGTATTCAAAGGTTGATTCCGGCAAGGTGACCACCATCGAGTTCACGGACCACGCCGACAGCCCTGACAAGGTAAGTCATGCTTCATACAACCTGTTGGGACTCAGTTCATCCTAATTCTATTCTCAGATCAAGTCGGTCGCTGAGGCCGATCATAAGTCGATCGTCACTAGCGACTCCGATGAAGTCGCTGAGAATGACATCAAGGGCAAGTGCAAGGTAACCCAGCTTGACGACAATGTCGACACTGGCAACGACAATGACGCTGGCACCTCCGCCAATCCCAGCTTTCTCACCGTCGACGGTGGGACTCCAGCTGAAGGTTACTCCCTCTCTGACTCCTCTAGCTCCAGCACCGCTGAGACCGAGAATTCCATGGAGGCCACTGATGGTGGTGACAAGCAGAGCAGCTCGGCGAAGACGTATAGCGTGATCTCCTTCCATGAGAAAGGCGATACGTACATCCAGGTTCGTGATGCGAATGGCCATACCTTCCTTCGTGTTCACAAGAATCTTGTTTCTGCCATCTCCACTGCCTGGTCAGACAAGATGAAGGACTCGCAAGCTGTCATCATCGCCCACGACAAGGCAGAGAAACATGATTGCTGCCACGTCCTCAAGATGCTTGACCAGGACGACGACCCCATCGGTCTTATCATCTTGTTCCAGCTCGCTCACTGGAAGTTTCACGATCTTACTGATCGCCTCACCATTGACGAGCTTTGGGCTCTTGCCCGCATCTCGCACAAGACTGAGTGCACTTTCCTCGTCACTCCTTATGCCGAGCGCTGGATTGTCAATGGCCTCCACTACCAAATGACTGTCAATGGCGCATCTAACGACGAGGGAAAAATCATGGTCATTGCTTGGGTCTTTGGTGAGGCTCGTGCCTTTGCCAAGGTCCTACCCCAGGTAGTTACCAACACCAGCCTCTCCGCCGACGGTGAGGTTCTCCTTGATCGCCATGGTAATCCCTGGGCCGCCCAGCCCATCCCTAGCGAGCTGATCGGTAAGACTATTTTCTACATTCTCGGATTCAATCATCGATAGCTAACAGACGTGGTTGGATAGACATGATGAAAGCTATTCGTCTTGAGCGCCTTACCAGGGTCATGAAAACAGTTGACGGCCCAATCCACGACATGCTGGAGGCAAACAATGACTTCCAGTATTGTCGAGCCAAGGACTCGCTCGACATCAAAGAAGCCTGCCAGAGCCAGCAACTTGGCTCTTTGATGAGCGGCCTCGTCAAGGTCGGGTTGTTACCCTTCCCCGACCCGCACAAGTATCTCGATACTATCACGTCTATTGCTGAGAAGCTCGAGGATATCAAGGCCGTGCGCTACAAAGTGCCGGGTGCCCTCCCCCACAATGACACCCACATCACTTGTGGTGCCAAGCATAAGGAGAAGATCCGCGCGATCAAGGAAGAGCCTATCCGCTTGACGTACAGCCTTGCTGCTGCTCTGAAGCGCCGCGGCCTGACCACTGGCGCCTTTCGTCATGAGCTCTTCTCTGAGGTTCAGGTCTCCGAGGGCCAGTTTGCCGTGGATGAGAATTCTTTCGAGGTCACAAAGTCTCCGATCCTGTCCACTCAGGCCTGGACCCAGGAATTCACGGCGAACGAGGATTCGGAGGAGGAGTAGTTGGTCTACACCTTGTCGCTT